CCTCTTTGTTTTAATTCTGTACCTGTTGTTTTCGTACATGTTTTTTATTATATCAAACATTTTACTGATATGCCATTTTTATGGAGTTTGAAATAGAGACCATTATGCCACACACTGTCAAACGCCTTTCTAAAATCTATGAAGCAAGCATAGATTTTGTTAGACTTTGAGGTTATGATATCTTTTGAATGGCTATTATTATAGAGATATTTTTGTACAATTGTTTTTAATATAAAGAGATTGTCTGTGGTCCTGCAGTGTTGCCTTTTTACTGTACATGGGTAGATGCAAGCTGTCTCAAATTAGTAGAATGTCAAAATGTACACCTTATTGTTCGCTGAATGTACCAGTATTAGTACTCGTGGAAAGCAGAGATAATATTTATATTTTAAAGCGCAGTAGTAGTCGCGCTGCGCATGTGTGACATTTGTCTTGATAAACATTGATTTTCCCACAATCCAATTCGCTCTTCAAATGGAAATCACAAGTATTAGGTTTGACCTGGGCGTGATGTGCACTGATTACCGCCGGTGAGTCCTTGATACTTTCGAATAACATGAAAATTATCTAATTAAAGCTTGGAAACGTCTCAGTTCATACTGGTTGATCTGCGCAACAGTCAATGTCGCCATATTTGTTTTATGAGACCCATATATCTTGCACATGCGCAGCGCGAAGACTACCACGCTTTAACCTCGCTGCAAACAAACTAGTATGAACACGTACTTATTTACTCTAGCGGATGACAAAAGCAAAACTGTCGTCATTCATGTCTTCTGCAGGCGAGACATCCACATTTTAAAAATTTCTGATACTTCTAATGATATGAAGTGTTTCGGCAATTTTATTAGCCATACTTTAGAAATTATTTATAACTGATAATATTTAAAAAAGAATATAATTTATATAACAACTAAACAATTCATGTCATTGTTAGTTAGACCATGGAACTACAAACCACATTTCCTTTTTAGTATAATAATTGCTGCGGTTTCTAAGATTTAAACTTTAAAACTATGTTTGTGCCATCATAAAATTGACCTTCTTACTTGCCTTCCAAACTTCCAATTATACGAAGAAATAAGTATTGGTCAATTGGTCACCCATCGTTATTGGACTATTTATTAGGTTTTTGTCGAACGAGTACTTAACTGGTGGGGTACTTTAATCCTGCTGAGAAAAAACGAATAAGCTCGATAGGTGGCGATGTTGGTAATTCGAGGTCGCCGATAATAAACAGTGACCTACTCCTCGATGAATGATTTATTTTTAGAACGAGTTCGCAACCTGTCGTCGTCACACCTAGTTTGTTTTTATCGCAAACCAGAAACAACGAGTTTGTCAAAACTACAAATACCGCCACTAAACAGGTAAGTGAGCAACTTGTACGCTGAGTTACCGCGGGACACGTCTTCTTCCTTTCGCTAATGAGTACGTACTTTAATTACTTAATGACCGTCACTTCTTTACACTATTGTTATTTCACAGGTATTGAGGTAAACGACCCATTCTACCCATATGCCTTACTCCCACCAACTTTGTTGATTTGAAAATACGAGATCGTCAGATGTAAAATGTCATATAGAGGTATAGTTACAGACTTCCCCAGACGTTTTTGCAAACTTTGAGTCGAATAATTAAGTACAATTCAACATATATCTTACACGTTATAATTGTATAGTATTATTAATATACAAATATAATGTGTTTTATTTATGGTAATATCTTGTTGTAAGTCCAACTACACTGTAAACATTACGTTTATATAGCATTTACGTTCTCGTGGGTTATTTTATCTACGTGTGTTGTGTTGTGATTCCGTTCTGGCGCGCTGCCAATTAATCACGGGGTCGAAATGACGACTTATAATTTAAATATACAGCTGACATTGGAAATTCCGTCTTAACAACAATCTATCGGTGCGAGGCAGTATGTAGCCAGTCAATTGGTGATATTTGACAGTTTAAAGAAGAAACTAACTGGATGGGTGTACTATTTGGAACGAGTGTACTATTGTAAAGCATGACCTGATTTCACCACTGAATACAGAACGTAAACAACACGATGTATAAAAAAGATATGGTAAGTCCCATACAAACTCAATGCACGTTATTCAAATTACCCATATCTATATAAGGGCATAGTGTCATCAGTCGCAAGTACAATTGACTAAAACTGTTTATTATAACAATAGTGTTCGTTTTCATCATACACTACATTACATAATAATAATAATAACTTTGTTGACGTTATTTTGGAAAGAACTTAGTCTAATGCTATTCTAAAACAATTATGATAAAAAACAATGTTACATACATGTATATGGTTCAGATATGGTAAATCCACATAGATGAAACTATCTAAGAAAATACCACTTTAAATTCGTTAATATATCATAAACTGCAAATTTTTTAATGTGTATTTCCTATAATACACAAGAACTTTGCCTAACGTTTTCTAAACTAATTGAACTGTGGATTGGAGGTTTATTCTTTCGTTATTCTTGCTTCTTTATGTTGTGGACAGTCAATCAGGAAGTGAAATTCATTCTCAATTTTATCAGTATCGTACCTATTACAGAGCCTTTCATCAACATTTGTTTTCGATCTTGTAAGCCGGCCTTATTCCATCATTAGATTGTGATCACTAATTCTGAGTTTGCATATATATTTTCTATATTTTTGGGTTTTTAATTTTAAGTATTGCACTGTCTTGAATTTACATGCGACTTTCGGCATATAGTAAACCACGTCCCGCACTCCTATGCGAGTGCAAACCCCATTGGACTACTAGTATTGTACATGTATTGAGCGTAATATGTCAAGAACATGACACATCAACACGTTTCATCGACTGTCTGATGTAACATGCATTTGTTTCCCAATCAGACTGATTATCGAGAGTACGTAATAACAGCTATGAAGAAAAGAAAATTGAAAGTTGTTGAAACTCTATTAATAAGGGATAAAAAGTACATTAACCGTGTCTTCGACAAGGTAGGTGCTACTAATTTTCATATATTCATTCAAAGTAACACTATAGCTCTGCTCTTCGGATAACCTGGCACCGTTTTTACTCGGATCGTGGTAGCATCCTCTCAGGTTTGCGTAATTGTTGTCTGTTTCAGAATCAGAACACGCTGCTCCACTTAGCCGTGGAACATGACTACATTGATCTACTACATCTTCTGGTGGACCGTAATGCTAATCTGGAAACCAAAAATAAGGTAGTACGCCAAAGTACCGATTCAAATCAATAAGCAACAAGTTTAAAGCAATAAAGTGGGTTTTCCAAAATATCGTTCATTTGATATTTTATAATAGAAAGTGGACAGAAATGAAGTTGATCGCATGCTTTTGACCTATTGTGAAAATCATATCCCTTTATGTTCAATAATCCGTCATCTATTTTCGATTTCGTTGTTAGAATGGTCAGACTGCACTGGACATGGCGGTGAGCCTAAACGACAGAATAATGACAGAGTATTTGATTAATAATGGTGCTGACGTAAACTGTACGCGTAAGGTGTGTAGAATTGTCGTTTTACTGTCAATTGAATGAACTGCTGGGTGAATTAGGAAAAATTCTAAATTTATTGTAATTGTCTTTATTTTTCGAATAGGATGGAACCACCCCTCTTTACATGGCCGCCCAGGGAGGATATGAGGATATTGTTAAAAATTTGCTGGAAGCAAACGCAAACGTTAATGCATCTACTGATGTAAGTGTAATACAAACATAGCTAGCCGTAGACATGTACACCATTCAATTTATAAAAAGAGTTATATTTACGTTTCCTCGAAAATTGTTTTATTACCAAGAAAAATGTGATTCAGATCGTCATGCATTTACCAGTTGAAAAGTCACCTAGCTCACTTGAAGGGAATATCTTCATCAATGATATTCACTCTTGTTATGCATTTATCATATGTGCAAACTGACATAGGAAGGAGACACGCCCATTCACGCTGCAGCCAGAAATGGACATATTAACGTCATCAAAATGTTGCAGGTTGCCGGTGCAGATATGCACAATGAAACACTCACGGTGAGCTTATATTACCTACTCATTTATTGTTTATCAAATATGTCACTAAATTATAATTCATATTTATTGCATTTACTGTGTTATTTTCAGCTTGGGGCAACTCCATTGGACACTGCATGTTTTAATGGACACGAACAGGTGGTTCGGTTTTTAGTGGATATCGGTGCCAATGTCCACTCTTCCAGAAAGGTACTATTATATAATGTATAGAATAAATACATAAATATATTCAGTTAATCAGTATTGTGTTTTAAGTTCCGCCAATCACAAAAGTCCATACGAGTATCACCCTTTTTTTCATCCACCAATCATATGTCACTACGTCAGTGTAAATCCCAGCTCTTACACCAATCGTATGATTTTTGCGCACGGCAATATTCTCACGCTCGTTTTGATTGACAGGATGGTTCCACAGCCTTATACGTTGCAGCACAGCAGGGTCACGTCAAGGTCGTGGATATATTAATAAACCAAGGCGTAGATATCAACGAACATGACAAGGTATATACGTCAGTATTATTACTTTAATATTGATACCTCTTTATAGAAACCCGGATGTAGAGGTAGCCATGCTCTATCAGTATACTTATGTCCAGATATTAAAGCGGGAGGATCATCACCTGCGCACGCGCGGGATTGAGTCCCAACCGACGATAACAACGCGTGCTTAAAACGCAAAGGCTCATGGGTGGACGCTTGTTTGTAAACAATGACACGCTATGACCATATGACACATGCGCAGGTGACGACACTCCACTTTAATTTTATTTGCCTTTGTATATTTTTTTCAGAATGGAGCGACTCCATTGTTTGTTGGAGCTCAACAAGGCCACGTGGAAGTAGTCAAATTGCTGTTAGCCGCAGGCGCCGATGTTAATATAAAGAAAGAGGTTAGTGTAGTCTTATAACCAAGAATCTAGTATAAGATAAACTTACTGTATCTAAAGAATTGAATGAAAAAAGAAAGAAAATTGTGTACATCGTAAATATAAACAAATGAATGCTCTTGCAGGGAAAATGGACACCTTTACAGATCGCAAAACTCAACCACCAACCTGAAGTTGCCGCTTTACTGTTGGAGAAAGTGAAAGTAAGTTAATTTCTCTGTTTGGAGTTCGATTGGTATGTTGTAATATACCAATATTCCACCAAAATCGTGATTTGAATCGACCAACTGGTAATAAAACATGTCTAGATTTTTGTTTATTTAGTCGCAAAAAAGCACTGACGACTTCACTATTCCTCTAGGATTCGTCGTCACCGCTAGTGGGCGCTGTTAAAATAGGAGACCGGACTACAGTGGAGTATATTCTAAGGAGAAAACATAGTGCAAGAAGCGAAGATGTAAGGATGCATTTATGTACACAAATAATATAATATTATTTTGTTATATACAAACATCTACCTATATACTAACGGCCAACGGTCCCGCCTCGTACATTGAGACACGCATTGAACAACTTGTGGTGCAGTCCAAAAGATAGTCACTGGTTCGACATATCTCGCATAATTATATTGTTGTCATACTTGGCATTTTCAATCGGAAGCTCAGATACATGTAATTTATTTCTGGAAAGCACGATGCTTTGTTTTAAAACAATGTTCTATCTTCTGTTGCAAACTGTACTAGGAAGTTCTCAATATTACTCCATCTTCAAATAATTCACAAATCAAATTCTTCTGAATTCTCATCAACTCTAAATATGTACAATTTATATCGAATTTACACAGTTTTTAGAGTCGTGGTTACGATAAATTATTTAGTAACGTAATGTTTATGTGATATGTGTTATGTAGGAAGTGGTTTGCACTCCACTAGAACGTGCAGTTCGTAAAGGCGACGTGCCCACCGTGGAGTCAATATTGAAAGAAAAACACGATCTACAATACATGCAGTTTGAGGTAAGGTTATCGGATTGGTGTGACATGGTTGGATTGGGTTGATGGTAACGTGCTTCAATCGGTTGTTGCCACGGATTCAGTGGGTGTTGACGTGTTTCGGGCTCGGCCATGGAGTTTTCTGACGAGATTGAAGCTGGGCATATTTGGGATGGTTTGTAAGAAGTTTGGATCGATTAAGAGATTATAACGGATGATAAAGATGTGATTATATTGCCTGAGGAGTTGGATTGGCCGATGTTAGGCTTGAGTTCGGCAGCGGTGGGATTGGGGTGGGTGATGATGATCTACAAAGATTTGCCATGTGTATCACCAAATTCATTTTTACATGGGTACTAAGTTACAAGCGATGCAAAGGCAATCATTGCTTAATACAAATGTATACGTGATTTCAATTGAGTGTAGACTCGGTTCCAGCCTCTTGCGACAAGAAAACAAATAGGAACGGAAACTGCTAGTACTATACGCGAGGAGCTGAGACTGGAAATTGAGTGTACAGTGAGTTAGTGGTACTGGTTTTGATTCTATCGTGTTTTCAGGTTCACCCTGCTTATAGCGAAGCATTGCTTCGTGGACGCAAGGACATCGTCGATGTGATTTTACTTTGGTGCAAGGTAAGACTTTATCGTTGAAAACGATTTGGAATTCAATTCAAATAATCAAGTAATCATAGCACAAGTCGAGACGCCATATTCACACGTGTTCTATGTATTTTGTTTGTGGGTTGAGACTTTCCTCTCAAAATCTCAATTTAATACCAAATACAATTTCAAATTGATGTAGAGTTTATTTATTCTCCAGGAGGTACTTTCAGAGTTTTTACTGACAGAGAGTGGTCGTTGTGGTCCTTACTGGCGTATGGTAGCCAGACATCTAAAGATCGACGATGACGAAATCGACGAAATAGTCATGGATGACGAAGACGTCAGTTTTAAAGGCGACGTCAAACGCTTCATGTGTTACAAAGTGTTTTTATTGTGGTTGGAAAAACAACTCCATTGGCCTGCTATTAATACTTTGCTACAAGTAATCAAAGAATGCCAATAAGTAATTCAGTAAGAAAATAAGTTTCCACGTAGAATGATATTTTTCTGAGTAAGACCCGAAAATCGTTCATTGTTGTTTTTATGGAAAATATACATAATTGCGAATTTAATGGTTTTTACTATATATTTTATTATAAAAAAGAGACATTTCTAATAAACTGTTTCATTTCAATTGTATCATTATCGCCTGTAATTATAATAGTTAAATACCACCATTTATGTGATGAAATAATAATTACCACTAATGTATTAAGAATACACTCTGTTTGTATAAATTTCTTCGTAGTATTTGTTTCTGTTCTCAAACGGCAAGCAGTGGTTAGTTCATTTCTGAATAGTACATGATGTAAACCTTTCCCGAATACACATAGAAATTACATCGTTGCTCAATTTAAGATATGTATTGAGAGATAAATGTTATATTTGTGTTTGCTATGTTTAGGCCGTGGCATAAACTAGGCGTGTTTCAGCGCTTCTCGTTTACTGAGAGCTGACAACTTGTCTTCATTCTTCTTTACAAATTCCTTCACGTCTTCTGGGTTGTGACGGAAGTACTGTCGCAGTGCCCATCCGATGGATTTCTGAATGAAAAACTCCTTCTCGTGTCCACACAACAAACAAAACCTACAACAAATATGAAAGAAGTTGAACAGCATGTGTTTATATTTGAGTCAAAAAGTGGATGCCCCATGAAGTTAAAAATCGCAAAAGTTTTTGTCGCGCCTTCACTTATAGAAGTAGATTAGAAGGATTCAGGCGTTTACAGGTAAGTATGTCACGTGGTTTTAAACAACACCCGTAAACGCCAACCTGATTTTAAAGCGGGAGGGTCGTCACCTGCGCGCGCGCGGAAATTGAGTACCGAGCGACGATAACAACACACGAATCATGGGTAGACGCTTGTCTGTAAACAATGGCACGCTATGGCCATCTGACGCATGCGCCCGCTTTAAAGTAAACATTGGGCAGATCTCTGACGTCATAAGTGTAACACCGACAGCATAGTGGTTGTTACTCAGACTTCAAATACTACCTGGGTTGAACACCAAAGAAGGGCGACCCCTAAGTATAAGAAATCTGGCCCCAGCAATTATCCACAATTAACAGCAATTATTATTTTATTTCATATATTTTATTTTTATTATTACTATATATTTTCGTTAATTTGTGTTATCAATACATACTTTATTCATTTAAATGTCGCCACGCGATTACCAACACTTTTGAAAAACTATCAGCAAATATAAAATAAAATGAAATAAAGACCAAAAATAGGATCTTATTTTAACCAGATTGATGCAATCTAAGACTTTTGCTGACCTGAATAGCTTGTCTTTGTCTGTGTCTGATTTATATTTCAACTGATGTAATATTGCCACACGCCGCAACCACATGTTATCATCACCAATCCAACTATCGACGACGGGATTCAACACCTGGGGGCGCAGTCTCACCAAATCACCAATAGCTGTGATAGAAGGCAGAGGGTATACCGGTAATAATATACGACAGGCGTTTTACATGGTTGAGCACGACTCTGGTTAGTTTACGTAAAATTTAACCTCAAATAAGAAACTCTACACTCGGTTTGTTTAGAAAGGATTCACATATGACGTCATATCGTGAATGTTGTTGTTGTTGTTTGAGGGGGGGGGGGGGTAATACAAAAATAACAGCCAACAATGAAACGCATAATCTACATACGAACCTCCATGCAGGAAAAGAAATTACACATTACTTAGGAAATGAGCAGTTAACAGTCCAAGCTTGCCCAGACAAAAATTAGTATACGCATAAAAATACAGATAAACAGAATATAATACTGTCAATATCGAACAGATCGGTTTAACCGCGTTGCGAACATACTAGTAATTTCTCTGATACTGACTTGTAGCTAAAGGGTCGACTGTGTCCCACCAACTCCCAGTAACAACCATTGTTTTGAGACATTCCATGGACGCAATGCAGTCTCCACGTGTTGAACCGTTGAGTAATTTTACTGATCTTCCAGCTAAGTCCAAACCGCAGTGCTGATATTCTCTTTCGGGTTGTTTCCATAGCAACTGTAGAAGTTCCCGGGTGGATGTCAAATCTAATTCCATGGTAAATACCTAAATGATGAGAGATGAATTAGACAGACAGTCAGTCGGGAGCGGTCAGTGACTGATGACGTGTGTACTTTCATTCACTGGCGCAAAGTAAAAAAAACAAACAATTATTTTAAAAAAAAACAATTTAAAAAACTGAATTACTTCTTTATTGATGGACTTTCTGACTGGTGTTGGGATCCCAAAGAATTCGAACTGATTCCTCATGTATTTTTTCATCCAGACGGCTTTCTCCGCATCAGCAGCATGTTTGTACATCCGGTTTATTTTGGATAAGATGTTCTGTGGAAGACTCATGTCAGGACCCTTAGCAGGCGCTCTTCTCTGGTCACCCGCGGGTTTAGTAACAGTATCCGATGGTCGCTTTCTTTGTAGTTTATTTACTTTCGGCATTGTTACTCTTGCTAGAAAATTGTTCTAAAATGAATGAAAACAGATGTTAGCTAAGAAATGGGTCAATATTATTATTATCATTCCAGTGCCTCGTGAACAGTCAGTTGTAAACTCCAGCACTGCTTTTATGGGAAAGCGATGAATTGATGCATTTGTGGGTCGCCAGTAGTATAGCGCCCTCAACAGGCGGTTGTAGATTATTTCTTGAGGAGATGTTTTTTTTTATCGTTTTACAAATTACAATAAATGATTGCGTATTCTATTGCTGTTTAAATCAGAGTCCCACGATGAGTAATACTTACAATACCACACGACCTAAAGCCCCCGTCCCAAATACACGTACAATGTAAACAATATATATATATATATATTGCAAGTTTGTTGTTTTAGTTTTGTTTAGTTATTTTTTCTACTAGTGTATCTGCTTTTTTATTCTGAATGTTTCTAACATGGAATGACAACCATGCTTTATTTTACTTAGATCTATGTCCACTTTTGAGGATACGATTTCAATAAAGACTATTATATTATATACACTGACAACTATTGAAATAAAATAATATAAATAAAAAAAATTAAATAAAATCACAGTCGCAAAAGATAAAACTGATCAATGTATTTATTTTTTTCTAATAACACTCTGCTCCGGGAAAAAAAAGCACTGATAAAACAACGTACAATAACGCACGTTGCTGTGTAGCCCTGTGTACATGTATGTTGTTCCGGCCGCTGCGCCACCCTGTGTAAAACAGGGCTAGAAGCTGTGGTATTATTTTGATTCTGTCACATGTCTAAGTCAGCTCATAGTGAACACCCACGTTCTCCGGACATCTGTAGCATGATCAATGAACGTGTTGTTTGCAGGATTACGTCATCGCCATGTGAGTTGCCTACAATAAACCTCTGTCATCTGATCAAACTGCGTGGACGCCAGGGGTCATCAGAATGTCGCCGGAGGGAGTGGTCTCATTTGATTGAACAACACGGGGTTTACTTCGAGCGCTGACATCGGAAAGGGAGGATCTCGTCGGACACTGAACTCGGCTGGTACACGAAACTGAAAAGCCAACACAGGTATTACCGATGATATCAGCCTGTGTGCTACTGATATTTCGTGTTGGCATATGCATCATTTTACCGGGGTGAACATACGTACCGAGTCTGGGAGATATTTACGAGGCTTTTAGATTCCTATCAACGCTTGCAGTACTGGAATCCTGTAACTGCCCGATTTAATCGCCGCTTGTGAGGGGGCAATTGGTACTGGTAGCTGCGAAAACACGGTGCCTTGTTGTTTGCCGAAGACTCTTGAAAACCGGTATTATCGTTGTCAACTAACGAGACAGAATGGGAGGAGTATTTAGCAAAAAGAAGGAATATGATGTGTCTGGGAAGAAGGGGAAGACGACTATCGAGGCATCGGCGGACGCACCAGAAGTGAAAAAAGAGGGTGAAGTCGAAGAAAACGCGGGAGCCACGGCGGCCCAGCCGGAAGCCAACAAGAAGGAAAAGGATAAGAAGAAAGGCCTGAAAAAGAAAGAAGACTCGATAAAAGAGAAATCAAAGAAAGATAAAGAGAAAAAGGATAAAGCTAAGGACGAGAAAAAGAAAGAAGCAAATGGAGAACAGACAACGGTGACTACGGAGGAGGCCACTAAGGTTGAGACGAAAGAAGGGTCACAAGAAGTGGAGAAAGAAAAAACAAAGGACATCAAAAAAGATGAAAAACCAGAAGAGAACGAAAAACCTACAGAGGTAAGCTTTTAAATATTTGAAAATCATAACCCGAATAAACTTGAACTGTTCAGAAGTGTCGCCAGACTATTATTCAAATTAACATTTGATAGTGTTGGATAATGGTTTCCCGTGACACTGTCATGGGAGTTGATCACATTCCATGCGTGTGTGCGTATGTGATTTTTTTACGATTGCATTAATTAACTTCAAACATATTTATCAGGCACGCAGCACATGGCCACGATCGTGTTCGGTTCGTGGACAAAAAATCGATGCAAGTAACTTAGCGGTAGACTGTCTGAAACATGCAACAATACTACACATTGACGTGCTAGTAATATCAAACATGATATATTTATATTTAAACAAAATTGTGTTTGTCATCTGTTATTACTTGATCCCTTGACATAAAAAAGCCATTTGCGAAGCAGCGAACATTCACATTCATTCTTTCCTACAAAGAATGTCTACTTGTTGACGCTGTGAATCATGCCGGAGAGTAGTTTTTAAAATACATAAAGGCAATGACATAAAAATAAGTGTCAGTCCCAGTGTATATATAAATTTCGTGTTTTGTCAACTTACCAAGCAAGTTGTTTCAGGTTAGCGCTATTGTTGCACGCATTGCCCAGTTTCAATTCCATTCAGAGATTTCGACAATATCCGGGTGCTTTGGCTCGCAACAAAAGAGACAATTCTTTTTAAAAGTTTAGTGAACCCTGGAATACTGATCGCTTTTGTGTGGGATGTAACATTTAATTAGCATAATAATACAACTAACAAAAAGCATTTTCTTATCAGTTGCAAACAGTGTGAAAATGTTAGGCAGGATTTATTTAATAAGCTGAGTATGCAATAGGATCAGACAGACAATGATAAACTGATTACCTAACCAAAAAAATAATAATAATAAGCTAATCACAGAAATCGATAAATTCATTGATAACTGCATCAAAAATTCAGACAACCAGCTGCCTCTCAAACAAACATTAGCTCATTTTCATTTTTGTTCTATCGTGATTTTCCTTTATTTCTATATTTTATTTCTTTATTATCATGTAAACAAAATTCCAATGATGATACAAGTTCAATAACTATTATTATTATTACACTTCCATACATTAGTGCAATGTATGTAAAACAAATTCACCCCTTCATAAAACCCAGTGTATTTATAGGAATCTGTAATTTGAAATTATTTTCAGTGTAACATTTCAATTTCAATCTATTAAAAATGCTTAAAACCTCCCAGAAGGAATTAAAATGCTTACATAACAAACTAAACATGTACTCTCTAATAAAACTCACAACAAACAATAATTACAAAAAAAAAAAAAAATAAGAAATTTTATATGTGACTAGTTGCAAATCCTTGAAATGAAATATGCGAAGGCATCCATGTGGTATGTTTGCTATGGGAATTCGCTCTAAAGGTTAGAACTAAAAAACGTTATAGAATATCTATTAGTTATGTCAAAAAAGGCCAAAGTTTATCAAAGAGTGTCTCCTTAGAGTGAGAACTTACATTGATCATGCCTGTTCGCAAACCGTCACATGTTACTGGCAGGAATAAGGATAGCGTCAAATGTTCTTTTGTTCTTTGAGCTGAATATAAATATTAGGGCAAAAATAATATAATAATTTTTTTTTTGCTTCAGTTTGGCATGAATACAGCTTTTTAGTGGGTCATGCATTGCAAAACTGTTTGTGACACAACGCTATTTAAAAAGCGATGTTCGTCGCACATGCATGCGAGACATTTGTGTTGATAAACATTGATTTTCCCACAATTCAATGCACTCATGAAATCACGAACATGATTTTTGACCTGGCCACGAGTACTATCAATGACTCTTCGATACCTTCCAATAACCAAAGAAATTACCGAGTTAAAGCTTGGTAACGTCTCAGTTTGTACTTATTATTCAGCGCAACAGTCAAAGTCGGCGGCCATCTTTGTTCATAGGAGTCCCATATCTCGCGCATGCGTGGACCACCGTCTTCTCATCTCAATACATGATTGTTTCGATCTTTTTTCCTCACTGAATACAGCATAATTCTTCATACTTTAAATTTCATACTTCATGTTTTAAAACCTTTAATAATAAATGATCACATGTTTATTTTTAGCCTGTGAAATGCAATAATAAATAATTAATAATAAATGGCTATAATCATGTTTATTTTTAACCTATGAAATGCAAGGGTCAGTCAGTGGTATGTTAATTAATGTTCTTGCACATGATAAGAGATTGGAGTGTTTATAGAAACCGTAACATGGTTGAACAGTTAAGATTCCATTGGAATTCAAAATAAAGGCTTGGTGTAATAAGTTGTTGGCAGACGGACCTACAGGGCTATACACAGTGGGAGTGCCATGCATTGTGTAGTGTTGACTGATGTATAGGTATCTAGTTTATTTATAGAAGCTGTAGACTTAGAGTTCAGTGAATCAATAATCTTTGTTTTAACACTGATCATTTTGACAAATTGGTTCGATAGTTGTCAGAAAAATGTGTTCAGTAAACATTCTGCATTTTGTTGTAGTATTATACTACTGTTTGGTAAATTGTTGTAGCTAATTTGAAAACTATGTCTACTACATTCTGATCCATATGGCCAGTGGTGACCTCTTTTCAGACACAATGGAAAAAACTGAATGGTTGTACAAAATATGATTTAGGCTGTATTTTCCATACAGTTTGATATATTTTTGAAATACAGTTGTGAGTACTTTTTGAAATGGTCAGTTTAGGACATTTTGGAGCAAACATTTTCCAACCTTCATACAACCTGGGTGTTTAATGTAAAAGCATGGATAAATGGGTAAAAATACTCAAAAATTTGGCCTCTGTCATGGGAACCAAAAATAAAATTTCTATACTGACCATTTTGGTACAATTGGCATAATGTTAATTAGGGCATGCATGTAGGGATTAGTTTTTACAGTATAAATACTGGTCTAGAAATCTCAACACCATTTATAAACACCCCTCCTCCCTCCCACAATCAGCTAAAATGTCTGGTGGCTTATCTGAGTTTGTGGAATGTATTGTGTTATTGATTTATTTATCATCAGTGGCTCGTTACGATTGAAAAAAAAATATTTGTAATTGATTTGGTCCCATGCATAGAAAATACATGGCAGGCCAGGTACATTTGTTGGTTCAATGCCAGAGGAAATGCATAAGCGATGACATTGGATGTGTACAACTACAGAGTGTGAGATCAAAAGATTTGATAACCAATTTTCTTTTGCTATGTATATTTCTTGGTATTAAACTTGTGTTTGAGTCTGTACTTGTATATATTGTATTTGCAGATGTATTGTGACTCGGGGGAGGGGGGTTGTTGTTACACAATCCTTTGTTACTCTAATGGGACTACAGTAATGCTCACAGCACAGTCCCTCTATAGTCTATAGAGAGACTGTGCTCAAAGGAATCCTGAAGTCATTTATGTCTGGCCTCTTAGAAAGTTTTCAGTCTCAGTAGAGCATGTCCATGTCCAGCGTTGCTATGGATATGACTGATTTGTTTGGTACATTTAATCACAAAGTTTGTTGTATATCATCACTGAAGCAAAGTCAATCTGGTGTTTGTATTCCAAACATGTACATAACAATCTTGTCTGTGTTTACTCATCTTACTCGTGTCAGTATGCTCATATCAGGTTAGGGTATTCTTTCTTGGTTTTTACTTGTGAAGAACCTATGCTCCTTAATTCAAGTTGTAGGTGTTTCCAACCACACTTCCTCTGTCATAGACGGTCCATATTCATTCAAAAAAAAAAAAAAAGTCCACTGATTTTGTCATGTGCTGGTCAATTCTAAATTCCCAATTTAAACACAATAGATCTATTGATAGGTATAGCTCACTCGGTCTTTCATACGTCTAGCATAGAAAAGTTCTTCTTACAATAACACGTACTTGTACACATACCTATCAGCTTTGGAAATAATTGGAAATGAATTTAGGTCAACCTTCCATGTGTTTATATACAAGTTTTATTCCTTCAACTTTCTCACCTGGGTTCATAGAGACGATACTGAGCCGTGCAGCTTATTTTTATTAGATTGTAGCAATTGTAGATGATCAATTGCCACCGTTGTACGTACACCTATTGAACATGTGGCAGTTGCTCATAAGATAAATCAGTTTTTGGTTTTGAGAAATGTCAGTAGAAATTTATGATTACAGTATAAAATGTAAACGCTGAAAGTTGACCAGACACCTTGTTAAACAGTAATTTTTTTAATGTGCCTTGAACCATTTCTCTGTCAGACTTGGTCATTATTTACAAACTTTCAATTGTATGATGACACTGCGTGGCAAATTCATAGTTCGTCATTGTCTGTTTCGTCCGTATTTTCGACTTCTTGTTGATAACTGCAAGTCAGATTCCTTTGTTATTATACATATAGGTAATGATACCTCGGGTGGTACCGGTAATCTCTCAGATTCTCTAATTTAGATGAATATTTTTATCATTTTTGGTAAAAAGTGATATTTTTGACTTATTCTTGAAAACCACAAGTCAGATTGCTTTGATATATTACATATAGGTGCTACAGGTCAGGGAGCTGTTATTATAGCTCCCTGTACAGGTGGACCTCGTTCAGATTTGTTCATTTTCTAATGATATCTTCAGTTCTTTAATTGAAATGTGCATTGCTAACAGCAAACTATCTCAGCAGAGAGGCTGCTTGTTTAAGATTGCCGATAT